TTTTGCTTATGTTCTGTTCCCTTTGCTTCTCTTTCAGAAAAATTATGGGCACATAGTTAATGGTTCTCAACCTGTGGGTCGCGACCCCTTTGGGGGCCGAACGACCCTTTCACAGGGGTCACCCGATTCATAACAGTAGGAAAATGGCTGTTATGAAGTAGCAACGAAACTAATTTGATGGTTGGGCGGTCACCACTACATGAGGAACTGTATGAAAGGGTCGCAGCCTGAGGAAGGTTGAGAACCACTGAGTTAGATGAAGATGCAATTATTAAAAGCAGCCAAGAACATCAGCATTTGAACAGTTTTAGTTGAAATAAGCAGCCCTGAGATTTTATTTCTCCTTTGATCATTCCCTGGTTATAAGGGCAGTCTCTAGTTCTAAGTCAAATGTTAATTAGACAGCAACTTTCCCCGGGTTTATTAATGATTTCTCCCAATTTAGTATGGAGAGCAACAACCAGAAACAGACTTCCCCAAGATCTCCTATGAGTAGAAATTGCACCGTGAAGAAGCTAGGAAGAATGTCACCCTCTTGTACGGTGGCGTTCTACTCGCCATCTGTCAGTTGGTTGCAGTGTGGTGGCTTGTGTGCTGTTATGAAGCTGGGAGCTATGTTCCCAGTACTTTAGAGACCAGCAGTCAGTCCTAGTTGATAGGATTTAGGAGAGTTTCCAGTTTAAGACACACTAAGAAGAAGGGTGAATTTTCTAAACTTAGTTTTTGGTTTGACACGCACAAGTTCTATATATCAACATTGTAAGTTGATACCCCCCTCAAGGGATGAAGCAAGAGAAGGAGGAAGAAAAGGAAAGGGGGAGAAGGAGAAATTTTAATGGTGCAAATTAGCTGTTGGTTGATGGTCCAAATTCTTGTCCCCATCTAAATAGAAAGTTCCTAAATTACAGATGCAGATATGTATGGTATGTATCATTTATCACAGGCAAGTAAAATTTTGCTGAAGACAATTGAAAGAGGAATTGCAGCAGTACCTCTACCAGGAGCAGCCAGATATTCAAGGCAGATTCAGCAGAAGATATGGAACAAGAGATAATGGATATCAGAAATATGCTTACTTGTGTTTCATTGACTACCCAAAGGAATTCCACTATGTGGATCACAGCAAACTACCGATATCATTTGGAGGAATAGGAATTCCAGAACACTTTAATTGTGCTCTTGTAGAACCTGTACATAGACTAAGAAGCAGTTGTTAGAACAAAATAAGGGTACTACATCATTTAAAATCAGAAAAGATATGTGTCAGAGTTTTATATATTTTGACCATACTTTTTTAGTGAATAGTTCAAGCAGCTGGATTGTATGAGGAGGGATGGCACATCACGATGGGAGGAAGTTTCATTAAAAATCTGCAATATGCAGAGGACACAATCCTGCTAGTTGAAATCCAGGAGAATTTGGAATATTTACTGATGAAAATCAAAGACTACAGCTTTCAGTATGAACTATGATTTAATATAAAGACAATACAATCCCCAGAACTAGACTGATAGACAACATCATAAGAAATGTAGAAAAGAATGAAGTGGTCAAGGATTTGATTTCACTTAAATTCACAATCAATATCCATGGAAGCAGTAGAACATTAATCATGCATTATTGTATTGATCTGAACTTCTTATTAAGACATATTTAAAGTGCTAAAGAGCAAAGACGTCACTTGGAGGACTAAGGTGTACCTGACCTGGTGCTTTCAAAGTCGGACAAATGAATAAGAAAGACCAGAGAAGAATTGATACATTTGAATTAAGGTGTTGATGAAGAATATTGCAAGCACCATGGACGACCAGAAGAATAAATAAATCTATCTAGGAGGAAGAACAGCCACAATGCTCCTTGGAAGTGAAGACGGCCAGACTTTGTCTCATGTGCTTTGGCGCTGTTAGGAGAGACCCGTTTCTGGAGAAGAATCTCACGCTTGGTAAAGTCAGCAAAAAGGGGAAGGGTCTTAATGAGAGCCTTCTATACAATGACTACAATAGGCTGCACCGTGGCAGCCATTGTGAGTGTGGTGCAGGACCGGGCAGTGTATTGTTCTACTTACATAAGGTCCCTATGAGTCAGAGTTGACTCAAGGGCACCGACTACAATAACAGAAAGGGTGGCCATTGACTTCTGATAATTAGCCAGTGAAACCCTAAGGACAGAAGAACTCTGTCCGATAGAGTGAGAGACGCAAAGCACAACACCCCAATGACCGTGGCCGTGGTCCAGGATGGACACGTTTTGTTGTAGTACGTGTAAGCTCACCATGTGTCAGAGCTGACTCGCCAGCAGCGAATATCAGCAAGATGACTTTGGACTTTCTTCCAGGAAGACTTCTGCCTGGCCTGCGGAACGCTATCTGTGAGGGCTGCACATGTTCTTGGGCACAGCCATGTAAAGCAGAACCAGCTGTGAGCCCAGCCTCAGAGAAGCAGCACCCTCCCTGCACAGCACCACTGGGAGAAGAGCAGTGGGACCTTGGGCCACAGAGGCAGGGTGTTTCTCTGTGTTATTTCTAAACTGCATGGACAGGGGCTTAAAACCAATCAAACGAAACTGTTTCGAAGCAAACGGCTACATAAATAATCCCCTTAGCTTTTAAGGGGGCAGAGTAGAGATAGTTGTGGCTGATCAAAGGGAGGGTTACAAGATCTTCAAAGCTTTTAAGAGACTTATTTCTTGGTATGTTCTTTTGATAGATCTCTTTGACTAAGGCTGGGAAAATGCATCTATATTTTTTGCAGTTTAATATAAAGAAACAAACAACAACAACAACAACAACAAAATGGAACTCACTGCCATTGAGTCCATTGTGACTCACAGCGCGACCCTATAGGACAGACTAGAAATGCTCCCATTGGTTTCCGGACTATAAATCTTTATGGGAGCAGAAAGCCTCATTTTTCTCCCATAGAGTGACTGGTGGTTTCAAAGTACTGACCTTAAGAATAGAAGCCCAAGACACAACCACTTGCCTCCCTCAAAAATGCCTCCAGCACCCCTTAAAGAGATAAAATGAAGAAGTGAGCGGAGAGGACGGGGCCTCTCTAGTAACAAGAAAGGCGAGCCAGGAGTGGAGGGTGCCTGCACGGAGAGCCTCCGAAACCCAGTCTGCCACCAGGCAAAATCAAGTTTGCCTCTCTGAGTAAATTAGCCTGTGCCTCAGTTTATCTGAATGGTATAATGTGTGTGTGTGTGTATATGTGGGAGTGTGTGTTTTGGAGGGAAGTGGGGTGTGCTACATGATCTACTCTTCAAACTTCAATGAGCCTTTGAATTATGGAATAATGTGGTTTATGCAGATTCGGATTCTGTAGGTCAGGAGTCGGCTGGGGTTCTACATTTTAACAGGATCCCACGTGACACGGTGGTGCCAGGCTCTGGTCCTTGCATCACTCTGGGGTAGAGGCACTCTAGCCTGAATCTCTCTCTATGACCTTGTGATGACTTTACTAATACAGCCATGCTTCCTGACTATAGTTCCTGAATATAGCTCTGAACAACATAAAATTCTATTAACTCCACTGTTTAGATAGAGGAAATTCTCGGGTCAAAGAGAGGTCATAATGACTTAAAGGAATGGGTGAGCCACAGGATCAACAGAGCTGGAATCAATGGGCAGTCAGGACAGTATTAGGTTTAATGTGGAAGTTTTTTCAGCAGTAGAAAATATACGATCAAAATATAGATTGGTCTCTCTTCTCTAACGGCGTTCTTCACAGACTTACCAGCTCCAGGCCCATCACCTTTTTGGACTCCTTTTCTTCTTGTTCTTGTTCTTCTTCTTGTTTTAGTTTTACATATACCTTACATGTTTCGGATTCTGCTTTTCTCGAATGCTGCTTCTGATGCTGGAATGTTCAGCTCCTCCACTTCCCCCACCCATTTCACCCTGTATAAACTCACTCATATGTTAAAGCCAACTTTGGATGCTGAGTCCTTTAGGAAGTCGGGTAAATTCCTTTGGAAAGATGTAATCTCCCCCCTCTGGTTAAACTGGTCTTTAGTTGATGTTACCTTCAAATGTCTACTTCCCTTTCTGTGCAACAACTTTTTCCCTGCTGGAGTTGAAGCTGAAGTCATCGATGTGTGACATTTGCATCTAGGATCTCATTGAAAGATCACAGTGACCCTATGTAGTTGGTGGTACTTTCACCTTTATGCTGGAGAGAGAGCTTAGACTACTGCTCAAGGCACAAGATCCTTAGGTATAATCTGGCAGTTGGCTAGCAGAGCAAGCATGGACCAAGGGCCTCCTCCATGCAATGCTATTAGTAAGAAGTGGTGCTGGTAAGAAGAGCCTCAGCGGGTGGAGGAAGGCAGGAGCCAGACCCAGGCTAGTGAGGATCTGACCAGAGTTGAAGAATTAAAACAGCAAGTCTGTTTCACATACTGTTCTCTCATAAGTTAGATCCTCATACTCTGACGAATTCTGGATTGCTGACTAAATTCAGCTGATGGCCCTGCAACAGTGAGCAGACTTGGCTTAGATGACCTTGCCATGTTACTGCCCCACTGTGATGTTCCTCCTGGCACTGCTTTATAAGTGCTCAATGAATATTTGCATCTATCAGAAGCACAGTTTTTCCTACAGGATGCCAAAGAGCCCTTACTCGATTTGAGCATGTTTGCAGGCTCGTCAAGGATTGGGATAAGAGCAAGCTTCGGAAATGTTCTTCAAGGACAATTTCTGCCTCCTGGCAGAAATGCTCCCCATGAGCACTGCCTCTCTACAGGAACAGGATGAAGTTTCTGCTCCCATGAAGAATTACCCCCTCAGAAACCCAGAGGGGCAGTTCTACTCTGTTCTATAGACTCACTGTGAATTGGTTGGTCTTTGGAGGGGTTTCAATTCTTTCAAAGGGAAGGCACATTTACATAACTCTAAAGTAGTGCATAAACTGGATGTTTGTAAGCCTGGGACGGCCGGTACAATCAAGTGGCTAAATTGTGACTAGTTCCCTTCCCAAATACTGACCACTTCCCCCGCTCGATTTCCAGAGTGCGGCAAGAAACGCTATTCACTTGCCAATGACCCTGGTGATTAGTAGGATTCACTGTCCCATGCTCACCACTGTTGCTGCGTTTTCGTAGGTCGTACCCTTCTGCCGGCCCATCAGTTTCTTCAGGAACCTCCAGGAGATCTGAAGTCTGGGGGGAAAGAGGAAACAATCTATAATGAGTGGTGCGATCAATGGGCTAGGTGAATGGAGATTTCTAGATGTCAATAGGAGAGGTAAGGTAGAATTCGCATGATGCAGTCTTGAGAATTTAATCACTGCTGTCTATTCTGCATGGCTGATTGCAGAGGCAATGTGTCCCTCGTGGGCACAGAACCTCCCTGCAGGCATATGTGCCAGGCATAGTGTTGAATGAATACCTGGAAGCACGGGCCACACTTAGGCAGTAGGGAGATGTCAGAACTGCTGCCCACATCCTGTCACTGAAAATTCTCAATGAATTCATAGCTCTTTCTATAGGTGACTGAGATAACTATTAATCCCATTACTTTCTCTATAGATTTACCCATCCTGAAAATAATACAAAACAAGAAACACACAGAAAAACTCAACAACAATGATAAAACCAAACATCTGATTTGAAAGTAAAGAATATTAAAAATGTAAACAACTTTTAAAGAGGCCAAAGAGGAGATCAAATAACAAGGTGTTACATTTTAACCTAACTGCATTTGCCATAATCAACTTTACCACGTTCTTTGTCTGATAGAAAAGTTATTCACACCCCTGAGCTCTGTATGGTCAGAGGGGATTCACCGGAGGCTTCCACTGTCACCCATGGTCTTCTACAAACTGGGTATTCAGAATCTAAGCTCTGACACCCTTTCCTCCTCCCCATTTGGATTGTATTATAGACAATGCTTGGATCACACAGTCTGGTGTGCTTCTTCCATGTGGACTTAGTTAATTCCTCACTTAGGTGGCTGTTTGTTTGAAGATCAATCGTTAAGACCCCAGATGCCATTCTTTCTAATATCCAGGCACCATCTGATTTCTTCACCAAACTTTACTATAGCACCCATATGTTCAGTGATCGCCTCATAAGATGGTCTTAGGTTTGGCTTTAAATTAAGTGCAAGTCCCAAATCCATTCATATCATTATGGTTTATGTAAACCCCTGGTTCACTTTAGAAATAACCTTTTGAGCTGATTTCACTGTTTTTAACTTAATTGCCTATCAGGTCCCCATTAAGTATCCTGCTTTGATTGGATTTTTCTTTCGGGATCATATTGCTAAATCCAAGACTCATTTCCATTTATAAATCATTTCAAAGATCATCTTCATTAACATTCTCTTTTTTTAAATGTCAATATAAATCATTTTTCTTTTTCTTTAAAAAAAATTTTATTGGGGGCAAGTAAATTACTGAGAGAACTTGTCTACAAAATGCTCCCATTGGTTTCCGGACTATAAATCTTTATGGGAGCAGAAAGCCTCATTTTTCTCCCATAGAGTGACTGGTGGTTTCAAAGTACTGACCTTAAGAATAGAAGCCCAAGACACAACCACTTGCCTCCCTCAAAAATGCCTCCAGCACCCCTTAAAGAGATAAAATGAAGAAGTGAGCGGAGAGGACGGGGCCTCTCTAGTAACAAGAAAGGCGAGCCAGGAGTGGAGGGTGCCTGCACGGAGAGCCTCCGAAACCCAGTCTGCCACCAGGCAAAATCAAGTTTGCCTCTCTGAGTAAATTAGCCTGTGCCTCAGTTTATCTGAATGGTATAATGTGTGTGTGTGTGTATATGTGGGAGTGTGTGTTTTGGAGGGAAGTGGGGTGTGCTACATGATCTACTCTTCAAACTTCAATGAGCCTTTGAATTATGGAATAATGTGGTTTATGCAGATTCGGATTCTGTAGGTCAGGAGTCGGCTGGGGTTCTACATTTTAACAGGATCCCACGTGACACGGTGGTGCCAGGCTCTGGTCCTTGCATCACTCTGGGGTAGAGGCACTCTAGCCTGAATCTCTCTCTATGACCTTGTGATGACTTTACTAATACAGCCATGCTTCCTGACTATAGTTCCTGAATATAGCTCTGAACAACATAAAATTCTATTAACTCCACTGTTTAGATAGAGGAAATTCTCGGGTCAAAGAGAGGTCATAATGACTTAAAGGAATGGGTGAGCCACAGGATCAACAGAGCTGGAATCAATGGGCAGTCAGGACAGTATTAGGTTTAATGTGGAAGTTTTTTCAGCAGTAGAAAATATACGATCAAAATATAGATTGGTCTCTCTTCTCTAACGGCGTTCTTCACAGACTTACCAGCTCCAGGCCCATCACCTTTTTGGACTCCTTTTCTTCTTGTTCTTGTTCTTCTTCTTGTTTTAGTTTTACATATACCTTACATGTTTCGGATTCTGCTTTTCTCGAATGCTGCTTCTGATGCTGGAATGTTCAGCTCCTCCACTTCCCCCACCCATTTCACCCTGTATAAACTCACTCATATGTTAAAGCCAACTTTGGATGCTGAGTCCTTTAGGAAGTCGGGTAAATTCCTTTGGAAAGATGTAATCTCCCCCCTCTGGTTAAACTGGTCTTTAGTTGATGTTACCTT